GGCATCCAGTCATTTAGAAATTCCCGCACTATCACTGTCACAATAAAGTGTCCCTGCAGAGCACTTGGAATGTAGACTCTGAGCATGTTGGGAGCTCTAGGCAAGGGCGATGGTACCTGTGGCCTTAGGTTCTTTGTGGAGACTCCACACTAGGCCTTTACATCTGTATTGGGCACTCTATATCTATCAGATGCTCTATAGCTGCAGCCATCTGAAAGCAGGGGGAGCTTTGCAGACAGGCCTGGGTAGAGGCCTGACTGGGATGCACACACCCCTGTACCATGGTGACATTTGCTATCTAGACCACTGAGGTGGAGTGGAATTGCCTGTGCATGTGGGGCAGTTGGTCTGACCCAGCTCCCAGTCCACCACCTCATCCACTCACTGACCACCTTCTCCCCTGGCCAGGGCACCTACATCTACTTTGACTACGAGAAGTGGGGCCAGCGGAAGAAGGAAGGCTTCACCTTTGAGTACCGCTACCTGGAGGACCGGGACCTCCAGTGACACCGGCCCCCTCTACCTGACCCTTCCCCCGCATGCTGATCCCCCTGCCCAGGTGAGGGCCCTGCCCTGGAGGACTGGGGAGGCCCCAGGCCATGGGGTACCCCCTCCCCCAGGAAGCAGGGAGAGGGCCGGGAGGTTTTCTCTTCCTCTCAGCCCCACCCTGGGGGCCCCGGGGGCGAGGGCTGCCCCCTCCTCCCCTCCCCAGTGAGGGACATTTTTTGGTAAACCTATTTTCATTTTGGAAAATATTTATGAATAAATAGTTTTATATGACGGCTGGCAGCACAGCCTCTCCTGTACCCCCTCAGGAGTCAGTGAGCAAGATGATCCTGCTGGCGGGGCCGCCGGGCTAGCTGGGGGTTGAACTGGGAGTTGTACCGCCGGCGTCGATCATCTATCTCTTCCTCTGGCTGACCCTCCTGGGGTACCCTGCCTTGGATCCGGGCCAGCARGGCCTCAGCCCGAGCCCTCTCAGCCACTTCCCGCCGAAGACGCTCAGCTCGAAGCTGGTCCAGGGATGGGGGCCTAGGGAAGAGAAGCAAGGTCAGAAAGCAGGGCAGCCCTCTCACCTCTACCACCAGGAGCCCCTATGTCTCAGGCTGCTGCTTCAGCTCTTGAAGCCACCTGGTGCAGGAACACCATGAGGAAGTCTCTGCCCACCCTTTTGTGGGCTTCTGTTCTCCCCAGTCCTAAAAGCAGGTGCCCTCTGTACCCCACACACCCCAACCGAGGTCAAGTGCAGAGTAGCATCCTGGGGAGAACAGGGAAACCTCTGGACTGGTTTCCTCTTGTGAGGTAAATCAAATTGTAATTGGAAACGCCCCCTGCACTTGGGATCTAGCATCTTGAGGACACAAGCCTGCTTTTATTCTCTAACCCAGTGATTCTCAAATGTTTTGGTATCAGGACCCTTTTATATTCTTAAAAATCTTTGATTTCCTCAGTTTTTAAGTTTACATACTGGAGTAGAAATGAAACAAATTTTGGACGCAAGTGTTCATAACATCAAGCAATCAGAGCAAAGACATCTCACATCATGAAAAAGCAGCTTGACACTACAGGACTCCAGAGGGCTTTTTTGGAACTTGGGGTCCCTGGACCACATGTTGAGAACTACTTCCTACCCCACCTGCCATATCAGCTGTGGTGCCCAGGCAGGGCTGCTGCCACGTTCTCTGTCTGGAATGGTCTGCCCTGCATTTSTCTTTTTCTTACTGTTTGGGCCGCTGCTTCTCAGATTCTTCCATTTTTCCCTTTCTGTTGTGACCTCGTTCTTCACTGCTGTGCCTTCTCTTCTTCCCCAGATGTTTCTGCATCTCCTGTAAGGGGTCTAGTCGGCTCTTGATCTTCTCATCTGTGCTTGAGCCTGTTGGGGAACCCCCTCGCTTTGGTGGGAGCTGGTACCAAGGGGGTTGAGTCTGGGCCTCTGCTGCACTCTGGCCCAGGTATGTCAGGATGCCCAGCGCTTTTTCTTGCCTCTCCTGAGGGAGCCAGAAAACAGAAGAGATGTTGATAGAACTTGAGTTCCTCAGGGAGCTCTAGATGTGGTAACAGAGAAACCGAGGGCATTTCCTACCCAGAGCACAAGGCCCTGGGGAGACATAACCAGTCATTCCACCACTGGAAATCAAGGGCCAATCATCAGTCAGCTATAATGTGCTAAGGTCTAATACAAACAGGCTGAACTCCTGATGYAGGCACAGTGGCAAATGTAGTACCAAGCAGGTAAATGGGAGGATGGGGCAGAGCTCTCTCTGAGTTCAAAGGCAGGGTTTGGGGAGACAGCTGAAAGCACAGTGGTGGAGGTTGGGGAATAACAATCTCAGAATGATGGAAATGCCAGAGAGCTCTAGAGTGGCAGGGTCTGATTCACATTTTAAAAGTTTAAGAAGCTGGGTGTGGTGGTGCATGCCTGTAATCCCAGCAGCTCAGGAGGCTGAGGCAGGAGGACTGCTAGTTCAAAGCCAGCCTTAGCAATTTAGCAAGGCCTTAAGCAACTCAGCAAAACTTTGTCAATAAATGAAATACAAAAAAGGGCTGGGGATGTGGCTCAGGGGTTGAGTGCCCTGGGGTTCCATCTCTGGTACCCCAAAATAAAAAATGTCAGCACCACCTCCATCATATACTAACCAGGACTGTGAGTGCCCCACAGGAATAACCAGTGTCCTAGGCACTATGTTCCAGCCTATTGCAAATGTTCTGTGATTATTTCTTTCACTATACTTCTTAATGCTCAGTCACAGCCCAGGACCAAAATGTCTCCCAGCTCTCTTCAGTATCCCTCTGATGACACAGATGAAGCCAGCTTACTTTTTCCTGTCGTTTTTCTTCCTCATAGTCTTTATTGCCTCTGGTCACCCCTTTCCCTTCCTCCAGCAAATCCCGGAACAGGTCCACAGGGCCAGACCTTGGAGCTCCTGCCTCTGCTGCATCAAGTTCAGACAGTGAATTCTGATGCCTGGCTTTCTTCCTTAGGAACTCTGTGCGAGCCTGGGGGGAAAGAATTATAGGCAGGATATGCAAAACCTACAGGTCACTCAAGGGGACTCAAATGTTCTGACTGCAGAAAGCATAGTGGTCCATCATGCTGGGGGCTACAAGAGAGAACACAGGCACTGGGACCCAGAAGAGGCATCTGTCTCAGCATGAGTGAAAATAGTAAATGGTGTGGTTATCAAGGACAGGTGGAAAAAGATCCCTGGCCTAAACCAAAAGGGATTCCAGTTTGGATAAAAACAGGTACAGGACCCAGGCATGGTAGTGCTTGTAATCCCACATACTGGGAAGGCTGAGGCAGGGAATGCAAGCTGGAGGCCAGCTAGGACAACTTAGCAAGACCCTATTCCAAAATTTAATGTCGGGCTGCAGACGTAGATTGGTAGTGGAGCATTTGCCTAGCATGTTTGAGTCCCTGGTTTCAATCTCCAGTACCACAAAGAGAGGAGAAAAAAAAAAAAAATCTATTGGGCTAGAGGTGCAGCTCAGTGGTGAGCATGAGTGAGGCCCTCGGGTTAGATTTGGTGGTAGTGGTGGTGGTTTACAATGGTTATGAATGTAGTCAGATTGCTTCAGGGCAAACGCTCTAAATCCCAGGCATTGTATCAAGTCACTACCCCAAAATGATTAGTAATTTATACTGAGAAACGAGAATTTTAAAACCCCAGATTGCCACCGCCTCTCCAGCCACCATTGAGGATCAGATTAGCTGAGGAATTAGGTGTAAACCAAACAAATTTAGGAGCTATAAAGAAAGCCTCTGAGTTGAGTGTGGTGGCCCATGCTTCTAATCCTAGAGACCCAGGAAGCTGAGGCAGGAGGATCTTAAGTTTGAGGCCAGCCTCAGCAACTTAAGTGAGACCCGTCTAAAAAGCCGGGAGGGTGGTGGGAATGTAGTTTAGTAGGTAGAGTGTCCCTGAGTCCAATCCCCAGTACAAAAGCAACAGAAAAAAAAAAAAAAAAAAAAACCTTGCGTCTGGAAAGCAGTTCAAGGAAAGGGCCCGTCCAGTGAAGTGGAACCTGGCTTGTGCCACTGTTCTCTCTTCCTTTGCCTTCCTCTCTCAAGCTACCTCGCTTCGTGCAAGATGACAACCCCCCTCTGAGAACTCAGCGCTTAAGATTCGGGAATCAAGTGGTCTGCACAAACTGAGCACACAAATAGGGTGCGTAGGCAAACTGGTTAAAAAGTGACTTCCTTGAAATGCATTTTTACAGATTCGYTTATTTATTCAACAACTAATTATTAAGCTCCTACTCTGAGGCAGGCTCTGAACACTGCAAACACATCGGGGGAGAATCAAGACCAGAAATTTCTAGGATTTGCAGAAGTGGGCTTAGAAGCTAGCAAAAAAAAAACGTCGCCAAAAGCTGGAGCGGCGTCTAGTACCAGCGCACCGCGCCTGCGCATCTCCCACTTCCGTTTCCTGCCCGCGACGCCGGTGCGATTGGCCGCCSGTACTCGAAGCTTACCTCTTGTTGAGCTAGCAGTACCCTCCGCTCACGCTCCTTTTCTTCCTCCCTGGCCTGAGCTTCGTCACGCCTCACGCGGGCGACATTGTCCTTATTCCGAACATGCCAGCTCTTCTTGGGCAAGATGTTCATGGTGCTGTAGCTGTACACAGACTGGCAGACCCGCCTTCTAGCACTTCCAATTGGCAGGAGATGCCCCGCCCTGTTCCCTACCTCGGCCACGGTTTGGTTTAGGTCAATTAGCACCGCCCCTCCAAGTCCGTAGAGAAAGGTGATTGGCCGAGACACGCTCCATCACAGCCAATCCCAGACATTGGGAGTTTTGTAWGCCTGGCGACAGCTCTTGTCGGGATTGTCAAGCGGCCCTGCCCCTGACGCTACCGGAAGCGGCCGCCGATTGGCTGGCATGCCGTCTAGCCGTACGCGCCGACACGCATGCCCATACACCCGATTGGCTAGTCCCGGGGCAAAGCCCTACCCCAGGCTTCAGGACTCAGGTTTGAAAGAGCGCTCAGGAGCCTCAACCCTGTTTATTGAAGTGATCAGAAGGTTCAATTAGACCGTCCGTACTTGGCAGCGGAAGCTCTGGAAATCTCGGGACAGGGCTGGGAGGCCGTCATCRTTTCTGGGGAAAGTCTGGGGCCTCACGGTGGGACGTCATCCCGAGACACGCTGGTCGAAGCCCCTTTGGCGGAGCTCATTGCCACTGTCCGCTGTGCCAGGAAGACTTTATTCTGCGCTTCCTGGGGTCAAGAGAGGTGAAGGTGAGACACACCTTCTCTCCCCCATGCCACTTTCCATGTCCCCAAGGAGCCCTTCCCAGGGACTGGCCTGGCTCACCGTCTTTATCTGGCGTTTGAGCTCAGAGATGAGGCGTCCATAAGAGTTAGCTAGGGCCACGGTATACGCCATCAGGATGCTAAGGGAGAAAGGAATGGAAACCTCTCCAGAAACTCTCTTAGATTATCTTCACCCTATGTCTCATTAAAAAACAGAGACTGGCACGCATGAGCCAGGCCCCAGGTTGAATCCCCAGCAACACAGAACAGGCACCACGGACACACGTCCTGATCTATGTATTTAGGCAGGATGCAGTGGTGAACACCTGTAATTCCAGCTACTCGGGAGGCAGAAATAAAAAGGGATGGGGATGGGGAAATGTAGCTTAGTTATAGAGCGCCCCTGTGTTCAATCCCAGKGCTGGAAAGAAGGGGCGGGGGAAGACTCCAAGACCCCCTCCTCCTTCAGATTCAGGAATTCAGTCTTCTAGACCCTCCTCTTCCTTAGGAGCCAGGACTCCAGGGTCCCACCCCTCCTCTCACGCCCAGGAGAGCAAGACCCCATTCTCCTCCTCTCAAGACCCAGGAATCTAGTACCGAGCCCCAACTCTTCCTTAGGACCAAGCAATCCAGGCCCCAACCCACCTCCCTCAGACTCAGGAATTCATACCCCTGTCCCTTCTTTCTAGGATATCTTGAGGACACAGGTAATGGGACCCCAGATCACATATTCAAACTTAGAAGTCTGTGTCCCCTCACCTGGAGATCAGCAGGAGAGGCACAGCAAAAGCCTGGGTCCCCAGAAAGAAGAGAAAATTCTGGGTGGTCTGAGGGAGGCTGTCAATGGATTCAGGGATCTGGGCCCAGATGGATGACTTCCCCCGGAATGGACCGCACGCCTTAGAAGGTGGGATCCTGGAGGCAGAGACAGGCTGGGCTCAATAGGACCAGAATCAGAACCCTGAGTGAGGGTAGAAGAAGGAGGCAGGAACCGCTCCCACTCACTGGAATATGCTGTAAAACACCGGGACAGCAGAGATGGCCAGACCCAAGAGAAGGACCAGAGGGAAAAAGAAATTCGCGGTGGAGGCCCGGAAGGTGCGGGAGGCTGGAGAGCAGGTGAAGAAGAGGGTGACCTGGCAAAGAAGGTTGGAAAAGGGGTTCTGAGACCCAAGAGTCGCTCATTTATCCTTTTTCCTACCCTAGAGTCCTGCCCCCCACYCCAGGCTGTACCAAGGAACCTGAATTCTAMTGGCTGAGACCTAGATAACGGGATGCCCTAGACCCCTTCTTCTGCCCTCCAGCGCTCTCTTCTCAGGACCTAGTGGTCAGAGCACCTGGCATCCTTGTCCAGCCTCCGGGGTGGTCCCAGTACTTGTTGGCTGGGTCCTTCTCACTCACCTTCTTCAGATAGAAAAGCAGCAGGAACTTGACCGTGTTGAGCAGGGGCAGTAAAGGGCAGAAAAAGCTCCCCACCCAGACCACCGTCTGGGCGTAGATAAGCCCCAGCACCTCGTCGGGCACCTGGAACTCCTGGGTCCCGGCGACTCGACCCAGCGCCCCAGGACAGAAGCCACAAACGAGCCTGCAGGGGGAGCGGGCGAGGCGGTGAGAGACGTGCCGGCAGGTTTCCCCGCCCCCAAGGCCTCAGCCGCCAATCGGAAAGGAGCGCGGGGCGGGGTCAGAGGGGAGGAACCCCCCACCACCACCACCGAGCAGGAGGCGGCGGGGTCTCCGCACCCAGCCCGGCCCCGGGTCCCCAGCGGCGGGGCGAGCAGGGAGTACAGCGCCTTGAGGGCGGGGCCTGCTCCCGGAGAGGCGGAGCCACGGGAGGGGCGGGCTCTCACTTCCGAGGAAACTGGAAGAGCAGCGTGAGCGCCAGGCCGCTCAGAAAATCAAAGATGAGGAGTTTGTACATCTCCTGGCCCAGACGAGTCTCCCAGCACTGAAAAAGGAAGAAGCCGCGGCAGAGAGCCAGGCTGTCGGGCGCTACCGGTGCATTCTCGGGGTCCTCCCTCCTCCCAAGCATCCACCCCTAGAGAGCAACCCAGGCTCCTCCCGCCTCCCAACCGGGACATCAGGTCCCCTTCACCCAGCTCCTCCTTTCCTCCAGGGATCCGTGATTCGAAGCTGCTCACCGGAAGTTCCTTGTAATTATAGCCGCAGGTCTTGCAGTCCTCAGCCTGGGCGTCGCCCCCGCAAGTGATCTGATTCCAGAGCGAGAAGAGCAGGACCAGCAGGGATGCAAGGCGCAGAAACACAGTCCTGCCAGGCAAAGGAGGAGGAGGATTTTCCCCGTTTCACAGATGAAGAAACTGAGGCTCAGTGTGTTCCGATTTTGAATCCAGAACCCCTGGATCCCATATCCGTGGGATTTCCCGTCTCATTTGCAGAGCCAACAACCTGACCGCTGCCATTCCACCACCCCCAGCCCCATCCCAGGAGGCTGGAACCTGAGCAGGATAAAAACGATCTGGCGGCTCCGAGTGTAGCCCTCCAGTGGGGCGATCAAATTGAACACAAACGGCAGCACGAAGTTGACCACGGAGATGAAGATGGACGGAAGATAATTCACTACAAGCTTTAGCAGTGGGGTCTGCTGCACAAGGGACATCTCCTGGGAAGGAGGACAAACCRAGCAAAGAGCCATGCCTAAGGGCCTCCCCCAGCCTCTTCTTCCCTCAGGGCYATTGAGTCCAGGGTCYAAACACCTCCTCCGCCCCTGTGCTCCTAAGATTCCAGGAATCCTAGACCTCGGTTCCCTCCCACAGCCCTCCATCCTTGGAAATGTAGGTTCCAGGGCCCTGGGACGCTCCTTCCCCAAGACCCTTGACACCTGTAGCTCCAAGGTGTATCCTGTGGCCCAGTAGACCCCGTAAAAGGCCGCGGCCAGGAGCGCCAACACCAGCAGGTTGAGCAGCGCRCGCACCAGCCACACCTTGGCTTCCTGGCCCAGTGTCCGAGCCGCAGCCTGGCGTCGGACCACTGCTTCCTCCAGTTCCACCTGAGGCCAGGAGAGACGTTCCCGTGGGCTCCATCTCCTCAGTTCTGGGGGCTGCCCAGAGCCCCTCCTCAAGTTGAACGGATGCACTCCTCACCTACCAGCTAAGGGTCTCTTGTTGTCCCCGTTCCACCCACTCCTGACCCTGCATAGGACCATTCAGGCCCCCTCTCAAGACTCCCGCCCTGCACTTCCTGCCTGGAGCTCCAATCCTGCTTTACCAAGCCTCGTCCTTTCTGGCCAAGCCACCAGTCCACTTTGAACCAAGGTGTTCTGCTGGGTACTTGTTTCTGCACTGCTCAGCTCAGGCATCCCTGTTGTCACCATGCTCCTCAGCCCTGCCATACCCACCACCTTCCTCCTTAGAAGAATCTCCGACGCGCTTCTCTCCGAAAGCCCTATCACAGGGTTAGGCCCAGCGTCTTCTCAGCTCGGTCCCTCGGGTCCTTAGGGAGTTGTGGCCCCCGCCCTACCTCAAGCGCACCTGCAACTCATACAGAATGATGCCCTGGCGCAGCCGCACATTCTCGTCCCCACGGAGGCCAAAGTCCCAGGCTGAGAACACGTGGTGGCTGTAGCTGGTCAGAGCCCCGGATTCAGCCAACAAGGTCTGCTTCAGTCCCGACACCGAGCTGAAGAGGGGAGACCCGCAAGACTGGGTGTGAGGGCAGCCACGAGTGGGGGGTCCCGAGGCACCCCTCTAATGGGACAAATGGAATGTGAACTCTAAGGTCTTTGGCAAACTCCGCCTGATGGAGGAAGACTCAAAGAGGCGGAACACACACAGTCCTTGGAACCAAAGGCCAGGAGGTGCAGACAACTAAAAGTGACACAGAAGGAGAGAGTGAGTCCCAGAGAGCAGAGGAAGGGACCTGGGAAGGAGACAGAGGCCCAGAGAGGGTAGAGGTGAAGACCACAAGAGACAGAGGGCACAGAGGCCCAGGGAGGGGACAGAGAACCAGAGAAAGGGACAGAAACCACACCCAACCCCACATCCACCTTCACCCTCTGGCCTCAGCCTCACCTTTCCCATGCACAACCAGGAAGGCTGTACCTCTGAGGGCCCATTCTCAGGCTGTACCTCTGAGAGCCCATTCTCAGGCTGAACCTCTGAGAGCCCATTCTCAGGCTGAACTCTGAGAGCCCATTCTCAGGCTGAACCCCTGAGAAGCCATTCTCTGGGTGTATTTTTTTTAACCCGGATTGAAACCAGGGGTGCCTAAACGCGGAGCCACATCCACAGCCCTTTTTATGTTTTGAGACAGTACTGCTAAATTGTTGAGGCTGGCATTGAACTTGTGATCCTCCTGCCTCAGTCTTCCAATTCACTGGAATTACAGGTGTGCACCACCAAACCCAGCTCATTTTGGTTTTCAGCTGGTTGGGACTTCCTTTTTTAGGCAAAAGAGATGCTGTTGGTTATTGAAAACCCATTATGTAACTTCTCCCTGCTCTTGAGATTCAGGCTGCTTCCTAGCATAACCAGCCAGGGTCCACAACTTCACCTACCTTTGAAACTCAAACCTCATCATCTTCTTCCTCCTCCTCATACTGGCTTTTTATTTCTCAAGACAAACCCAAACATCTTTCCCACCACAGGGCCTTTGCACGGCAGTGTGCTTTGCCTGGAATGCTGGAGTCTTGGCTGTCCAGCTGGCTGGCTCCTTGTCTTTCCAGGGCCCATCTACAGGTTCCCCAGTCAGAGAAGCCTGTGCTGACAACTGCATCCAATGAGGGTCCCCTGCCATTCTCTATTACAGGGGTTACCAGCCCCTGTGTCAAATCCCACTCAACACCTGTTTTTGTAAATATTGGAACAGCCACACCCACTCATTTGCATGTCACCTATGGCTGCCCTCACAAACTATGAAGGCAGAGATTAGTTGAGACTAGACTCGAAGATGAAGATGCGTACTCCCTAATTTACAGAAGTCTGTTGGCTCCTGCTGTCACACCATGCAGCCTGTTTTTATACAGGGTCATTCCCCAACTCAGATTACTGATGTCTGCTCATCGACATCTGTCCCACTGTTTATTTCCCCTCCCGTGCTGGGCTGTAAAGCATGCAAGGGATGGGGACCCTTGGGTGGCTCCCATGCCTGGCCACAGTGTCCAGCTCATAGGAGACACTCCATTTTTAAAAAATGTTTATTCTTAAGTTTTAGGTGGACACAATATCTTTACTTTACATTTATGTGGTGCTGAGGATGGACCCCAGCGCCTTGTGCATGCCAGGTGCGCACTCCACCGCTGAGCACAACCCCAGCCCCTCCATTCTTTTCTTGTTCAAGATTTCCTTCTTGAACACACTCCTTTCCTTGGGGGTCTCCCTGTCCTGCCTGAATGCCAGAGTCCCCAGTGTGTACTCTAGTCCCCACCCACATATCTAACGCATGCGTAACACTGGGTCTAAAAGGCACCTGGGTGCTTGGGATGTGGCTCGGGGGTGTCGCCTGGCATGCATGAGGCCCTGGGTCCCATTCCCCCCAATATCAAAATAAAAGGCACCTCAAAAATCACTGGGTCCAAAGCTGCGTCCCAGATACCCTCACCAGCCCGCTCCTTGTACGGCCCGTCTGTCTCCACCTCTACCCTGCCGTGTGTGGGTCCACAGGGAGTCCTTCTGGACTTTGATTTCAACCACACCCCTAATACAGTCAGTCAGGAACCCCTGGAAATACACCCAGCGTAACAAGATGAAAACCAGGCCTCAGGACSGTGCGAGCAGAAGGGCGTGGTTACAGGAGCACCCTCTCTCTCTCTCTCTTTCTTTCCTGGTGCTGGGGATTGAACCTGGAGGTTCTCTACCAAGAAGCTACATCCTCAGCCCTTTTTATTTTGAGACAGAATCTTTTGCTTAAGGCTTCACTAAATTGCTGAGGCTGGCCTCAAACTTGTGATCCTCCTACCTAAGCCTCCTGAGCTGCTGGGATTACAGGTGTGTGCCATCAGCCAGCTCCTGATCTCTTTCTTGATACCAGTGGAAACTCAGACCCTTTCCTTGTGTACTTTTAAATACTTGCGGCATTTTTAAAGGTTAAAACTAACTCCAAAACTGACCCCTTGTCACCACCCTGCTTCTCCCATCAGATGGTGGTCTGTGCCATCGCTTGTTACCTGGACTCTGGCAGTGACCTCCTAGTGGACCTCCTCCCCTCACTCACTCCTTCCTTCCCTCCCTCCCCTTCTTTCTCTCTGCCTCCTTCCCTCTCTTCCACAAGCCCACAGGGGGACACTATCCTTCCCTGACTCAGGTCGGGATGGCCTTCTGTCCGAGGACCTGCTGGGCTGGTGCCTGCCTTGCTCTGGCCCTTGGTCCGCCTGGAAGCTCTTCCCCCAGGTGTCTGCCCGGCTGAAACTCTCGCTTTCTCAACGTCATCCTTTCAACACTGTGTTCTCAACAATGCTTCCCTGACCCCCTGCAGTATAGCAGCCTGGCCCAGGCATCACTGGGATGTCCCTCGCTCTGGCCCTGAGTAGCTTCCAGCAGCCTGTGCAAGTGACATGCTCCTTACCCATCCCCCAAGTGCAATATAAGTGCCCCTGCGATGAGACTCTGATGTGTCCCAACATTTAGAACGCGGCCTGGCACCGAGTAGGAATGAATGAAATCAGCCCTGATTGTAGTCTGTACAGCTCTGTCCTAATCAGAAAGCACGAAATACACCTGCTGACTATACCTCCTCCCTCCCCCTGGCTTCCAGCCTGCTGGGGGGAGGACCCGCCACCTCCTGTGTGTCCCTAGCCTGTGTGCACAAGAAGCCTCTTAAAACGGACTTCAACTCAGAAAGGAGCACAGAGCGAGAGCCAGGATATTTGAGGAGGGCATTGACCACCACCACTCGACCCCTCCTGTCCAGGGTATCAGGATGTGGGCAGAACTGACCGGTGCAGGATGAGCAGGAGGCAGATGAGGCTCACGGCAAAGACGGAGCACAGGTAGGTCACGGCCAGGTACTTGCGGGGCGGGTAGAACCCGTAGAAGAGAGGGGACCATTCTAGGTAACCCTGTGAGGGGCAGATCGGGGTCAAGGTGGAGGCAGGGCCCAGGAAGTGGGCAGCCAGGCCTTTGGGGCAGGGCTATAGACACAAGTCACGGGAACACCAGGGCTCCGAGGTGGGACCTACGGAGCCCAGCCGCCTACCTCTCCAGAGAGCAGGTTGAAAAGCTGCGTGGGAAAGGAGACCAGGCCCTGGGTGTGGGGGCTATAGGAGCCGCAGGGCGAGGAGGTACCAGGGCCGGGAGGGCCGGGGGGAGCCCCTTCCAACCAGGTGGGCAGCAGCGTCATGCAGGCCTGGAGCACAGAGGCCAGCACGTTGAGCAGCAGCAGGAAGCGCAGCAGGGAGAAGTAGGACTCGGTGCCCCCGCCAAACTGGCCTGCAGGCGGGCAGGGGCTCAGTCCCTCTGCTCAGCTCAGGCCCAGAGGCCCAGCCCAGCCTCCTCCCTCAGACCTGGGGTCGGGACCCAGCCCTCCCCCTCGGGCCCCACCGACCCCCGATCCTCTTCAGGGTCCAGGCCCAGGGCTGTAGGCTGCGCAAGCCTTCCTTCATCTTCTCCTTGGACCGAGGGAGCAGCCGTGCCCAGTGGGCAGTCCTCRGTCCAGAGCCCAAGGCCACTTGTTCCCTGGCCTGGCTCTTTCTGGAAGGGAAACAGACAGAACCCAGGCGTGTCAGCACAGACGGGGAACACCCAAAGGTGCYGTGCTGGGCTGGCTCCCAGAAGACTGTGGCCAGGGGACAGAAGGGACCCGACCCACGCAGAGCAGGGAGACGGGAGGAGTCACGACGGGTGGCTCCTGAGGGACGCGTGTGCTTCTGTGGGAGCCACAGGGAAAGACGGGGGGCAGCTGCTGGAGGCAGGGAGCGGTCAGCGCCTGAGGAAGGGCTCAGGGAGAGCGGCTGTACCTGTGAGCCCTCCTGGCCCGCATGGGCCACGGCAGCTCCCGGGACGGGCGAGGGTCCCGCAGCTCGCTTTGGCTGGCTTCTGCAGAGGCCTGCCTGCTCCTCTCTCCATCCTCATCCTCCTCTTCCAGGGTCCCCCAGGGCAGCACCCCAGGGCCACGGTACCGAAGGGTAGCAGCACTGGGGAGCTGGTGCAGCACAGAGGCCAAGGACTGGCCTGCGCAGGAGAGCAGAAGGCTGGGAGGACACAGGGGTCCAGGCCAGCCTCCCC